TTTGACATTGCTTCAGGGTATAGATCCCCTGTGATAAACGCTAGGAACTGCAAGTAAGCCTGCAGTTTGAGAGCGAAGGGCTCTGTTAGGAAAATATGGAACAATAAGCTCTTTAATATAAGATGGAGCTAGGTTGTTGAGAGCTTTGTAGGTTAATAAGATTTCGAATGGCTTGTAAAAAATAAAATAAAAAAATAAAAGAAACTGCGGTTCATGAGTTGGCAACACTTTATACCATATAGACAAAAAATTTCAAATCACCCTTTGATTTTGGTCCAACACCCCAGCGTTTCCAGTGGCCCCCACATGGCCACCCCGTATAAAAATTGTAGAGGCGCCAGTGCACATGTTGTGAGGCTCTAGGACCCAGCAGGTGCAGCTCGGTGCCGCTTGTTCTGTGCAGTCCTGCTCCCTCCTGTCACAGATCTCTGGCTGGGTGCTCAGTCAGCAGCAGCAGCTAAGCAGTAGCGTCCTCCTTTCCAGACTCCAGGACGCGCACACAGACGCATCTCACAGGACGGGCACGGGCAGGGGGGGACACAGCCCGAACCTGAACCAAACTCAGTTTATGGACTCAGAGGAGCGACACGGACCCACACATGTTGCACGTCCGTTCATCTCTTGAAGGAATTTGAGGCATGGCTTCATCCGTGAGCGGCGCAGAGGAGGTCCGCGTGTCCGCGCTCACGCCCCTCAAGTTGGTGGGACTGGTGTGCGTCCTCCTCGCGCTGTGTCTGGACGTCGGGGCCATGGTGAGCCCCGCGTGGGTCACCGCGGACGACCAGTACCACCTGTCCCTGTGGGTGTCCTGCTGGAAGCCCGTCAGCTCCGTGGACTGGTCCTGCAGCAGCACGCTGACCACTGGTGAGACGTTTAGGCTCATTTTCCAGGATGTTTCACTTTTAAATGCAGAAATGTGGATTACGTTCAAAAGAAAAAGTCCCTCCATGTCTGAACCGTGGGGGTGAAAATTAAAATCCATCACGCACGAGAAGAATTTATAATTAATTTTCGCTGAACTTGGAAACCAGTTACAGAAATCAAAGTTTCTCCCTGAGTTTTGAACTCTTTGATTTTCTATCTGGGCTTGTTAACTTTGTTCCTGAAGCATCGTTTTTTATTTTTTACCCAGAATGATGTGGGAATTTTGCCTGGCCATGCAGGAGCGGTCCAGATGGGGTTTCATTTGGCCTTTTGTTGCGCACAAAATGCGCCTTTGTGTGGATTCCTGCACCGGCCAAGGACCAAGGGCATCTCAGAGCGCACAGCTCCCCCGAGATCCAGATGCCTGAGGATTAGTTACCAGGGAAACAATTGAAGCTCTTCAGAAATGCTGCTTTTGACTCTATTAGGGATTCTTCCCGATGGAGTCCCTCATTCAGCTTTTTCTCTCATGGCTGCTGCATGACCTGTCCATTTTTACTAGAAGAATAATCAGAAACGTAATCTATGTATTTCCTAGAAAACCCCACAAATTAATATATTTAAATATTGCATTTGATAGGGTTTAAAGCCAACAAGGTGCAGAAAATAACAGAAATAATGAGATTTAATAATGAGTCCATGTTTTAGACTTTTGCAAAGATCTTCATATAGCAACTATAAAAAGATTTAAAATAGTTTGCCTTTAAGCTTACATTAGCTGTCCCTGAGTTGAGCTTCCTGTGACTGCTGCTCCTTTCACCTATAAATATTTCAGTTATTTCACTGCCCCGGGCCTCCTCCTCCTCCTCCTCCTGTGCTGCATGTTGAATTGTGTTTTTGTTAGTCTGACAAACTGTTTTCTTTCTGTCTCAGATGAGTAACCATGGGTCATATTGGCCCAGTTCCTCCTCTGTCAATGCAGACAAAGTGCACTTTGGTGCCATATAAAGACACAGAGTCTCCATGTCAGCTCTCGGTAGGCGGAATACCACAGTAAATGCACACAACGAACTTCCCATTTCCTCGGGCTTATGCTTGGATATTGATTTGGATCCCAGTAATCACTTTTGGCTCCCCTTGCCTGTCTGTCTCAGTTTAACTCCCCCCTCCTTAATATTTTCCTTAGTGTCATGCTCTGGGCATTAACTTAAATCCTGTTAGTCTGAACTAGCAGCCGGCCACTCGGATGTATTTGAACTTGCTCGACAAGTCGGTGTTTGTCCTGGAAACGTTGAACGCAGACATCAGGTGTTTGACACAGACAAACAGACATGGTGGGGAGGGGTCGGAGGTCACGGTTAAAATGCACACTGGGATGCAAATGTGGAACGGGATTGTAAAAGCAAAGCCAGTTTGTTGCCAGCGTGGTGTGAAAAGAGAGCACAAATGTGGCGCCAGTGTGTGAGACGGTCCGGCCTGGTGAGAGATGGCATTAATAATGTAATATTGATCCCATTTTGGGGAGTTATCTTCTCTCGGAGGATGGTCACAGCTCAGTGATGGCCTTGCTGAGGTGGTGGGGAAAAGCTTAGGCCAGGAGCCCGTGACTGGAATGCTTTCTGGCTTAAATAATTCCTCATCCTGCTGTCCTGAAACATTCAGGTTGAAAGAAGAAAGGAGTAACAGACTCCGGGCTGTTCTCTGACATAGATATGTCCCCAACAAAGAAACTGATCTGAGACCCTGTAGTTGTTTATATATATATATATATATATATATATATATATATAAACTCTTGAGAAGCCCATCACATAAATGCAGGGGGATCATAATTAATGCTCAGATCGGATCTTCTCGTGTATCTCCTTTTCCATCTGTCACCACACAGGGCTCAGATTAATAGTTTGGCACTTCCTGCTCGTCAAAGCCTTAAAGCACTCCAACTCTGGCTGTGTTTCGTGCACAGCGCACAGGCTCTGCTCCAAATCTGAGAAGAGATGACTTTCTGCATCCTGCTGCTTTACAAGCTCACTGATAACAGCGGTGCCTCCCAGCTCAGCCACTTGAAATGTGCTGGGCTGAAGGCACCAAGCTGACCTAGTGAAGATATCTGAGCAATGGCAGGCTGTGACAACCGCAGGTCAAGTTACTGTAAACCTTTCTGCTGAGACTGACGGCTCAGTGCATGGGGGGTGGGGGAGTCCTGTGTTGTGTAGGATGAAGGGGACTGGGGGCCCTGCTTATTGTGGGTTCTTTCCAACATCCTGTGGTGACAGGAACATTTATAAACCAACCATATTTGGCCAAAAGAAGCTGATGTATGTTTAGATTTCAGCCACTTGCCCTCTGGACTTTAGTGAAGAGGAATTTTTAAGAATGGGAATTGTTCTTTAAGAAGCTTCTCTCACTTTCTCCCTGTCGGTGAATTTGATGATTTTCTGATTTATATGGGAGGAAATCTTTACAGGGCTCAATTATTTTTTTTTATTCCCCTGGCTCCCTAATTGGCAATGCACTTACTGTACTAAGAAAAAATGAGACAAAACCCCATTTAAACCAGTTGTCAATGTTTCATACTTTAATACTGAATTTTACATTTGATGCTTGTTCTTTTCTCCACATGCTGCACTTTAAATGATTTCTTCCTGTGTAATCAGATGCCTCTCCTCAATGTCCTCTGCATGTTTACATACAGACCTCCTGTTTTCCCAAGTAAAGAATGAGACCCTTAACCTCTAAACGAGCATAATGTGTCTCAGCTTATGTCTCATGTTTCATTAAAATGCTAATCTAATGCTTTTTTAAAATTTAAACCTTTATTTTACCAGGAAATAAACCCATTGAGATTATTAATCTCTTTTACAAAGATGTCCTGGGAAATGTGCAAGAAGGTGCAAACGAGCTGTTACAAATACAGCAACTGTTTTAGTAACAGTAACAGTAATGTGCAAATATTTACAACAAAATATCCTGTAGTAAGATGTAAAATACAATGCAAGTTTAAAAAATATCACAATTTAAGACACTTAAACGTTACAGGTGCAAGATGTGACTACAGGGATAAAGAAATAAACCAACCTCAACTTCAGCTGCAGATCATTCCAAGACGATGAGCTGAAAGAGGACAAACTCATCTTTCCTGACTCTGCACATAAAGGGTACTTTAAACTGCAACCAGCTACTAGCCCTGAGACTGTGTGTGCTCTGTAGTGAAATGAACTTGGAGTAGACATATGATGGTAATTTTCCTAAAATAGCTTTGTATGAAAATATATCAATGCTTCATCCTACAAAAAACACACACACACACACACAAATATATATATATATATATATATATATATATATATATATACAGTATACATGCAGTATATACCGTATTTTCTAGTGTATACGTCGCTTTGGCGTGTAAGTCACATTTATTATGTGTTTATTATGCGTTTATTTAATTGTCAAAACAGCTTCATTTCGCCTGGGTAACACCATCCATTCATCTATGCGGCCGGAGCTGCTAGCTCTCCAGTGTTCCTCCGCCTGCACCAGCTGAGTGAAGTGAGTGCGCACGGGACGACTCACTGTTGCAATTCTTAGAAATTTTACAAGATTAACAATTATTTGTTTGCTCAACATTATAGTAAAGGTGTGTCTCAGTTTAACTTTTCCTTAACAAATGCATTTTAATGGACAAAACAGTTTCATATCACCTGGGTGGCGTGTCATCCATCCATCCATTCATCCATCCATCCATCCATGCATCCATCCAACCAGCTTTCCAGCGTTCCTCCGCCTGCACCAGCTGAGTGAAGCAAGTGCACACAGGAGGACTCGTTGTTGCAGTTCTTCGAAATTTAAATTGTCAGTCAAAAATTACGTTATGAATATGGGGGAAAAAAACGTATATAAGTCGCAGGACTGACACATCTATGCAATAAAACTGTGACTTATATGCCGGAAAATATGGTATGTGTGTGTCACATGAGCATTTCTTTGTACATTATTGCTACATCTTAATTAAAATGTGAAACTACAACAAGTTATTTCCAGTTGAGTGTTTTTAGAGTGAATGTCAACGAGATGCTGAGAACGCTGCTGAGCCGGCACCAAGCAGAGACCAGGGGGATGTTCATTATCGGAGCCTCCTTACAGAATCACTTTCCCCGTTTTGCTGCCCTGGGATTCATTACTGAAATCTGTGCAAAGCAAAACATCTTGTTTGTTTCCTGTCAGGCCTAAGAGGGCTCGGATCGAGGCACGTCTTGTAGTTCACATTCTTCATTTGTTCAACTGGTTGTTGACCCTCGCATGAAAATATCTTGAGAAATCACCAGCTTCTCAGAACACGCAGCTCTCCCCAGCCTCTGAACCACAGATAGTTTGTTTACACTGTGGTAATTCACAAGCTCTACTGGGTTGGATCAGTTTTCTTTTATATCAGATTGAGCATTAGTGTTTTTGTGGTTAACCACTTTGGCCTCTGACCTATTTTGCCGTTTATTTTCCTCATCCGCCCCTCGTGTTTATATTAGGCTACCCATGTCACTCCTGTCCCTGTGTTTTGTCTCAGACTGGCAGATCGCCACGCTGTCCCTGCTGATGGGGGGAGCGGCCCTCATCCTGCTCTCCTTCCTCGTGGCGCTGGTGTCCCTTTGCTTTGGCTCCAGGAGTCGCTGCTACAAACCCGTGGCTGTCATGCTGTTCTCTGCAGGTACGAAAGGTCGAGGTGGACAATAATGTGTGTGTGCATGTCTGTTACCAAAAACTTTGGCAGGAAAGGCAATGGGTGAAATGCTTTCTTTCCTTCAAAGAACACTAGACCTTTGTTTCTTGTGAATCCAAAAGTGAAGATAGGAGATAATAAATACCAAAGAAAAACAAGTGCTTTTAAATAAATTATCCCAAGTCTTCCTGCAGGGTTTTTGTGATAACCTTAATTTCTGGTTTTCAAACCAGTATTTACAAGGTTCCTGTTTGGCATATTACATTTTCTGCTTCTGTTTCTTTTGCAGTTGTCCTTCAGGTGTGCAGCTTGGTCCTGTTCCCCATCAAGTTCATAGAAACAATCAGTCTGAGGGTGTACCACGAGTTCAACTGGGGCTACGGCCTGGCCTGGGGATCCACCATTTTCTCCTTCGGAGGCGCAGTCCTCTACTGCCTGAACCCCAAGAACTATGAAGATTATTATTAAAAAAAACATGAGATATGAGAAGAAACACAGAACTCTCAGTTTTACTGTGTCTGCAAAGAGTGTATCTGTTCCACAGTGCATAATCACACACTGGAAGCAAGAACAAAATCTTATTGTTTGGACTGAGTTCTTATTTGATGCTGTGCTCCTACAGTCTTGAAGACAATGAGATATTGCACAGATGCCAAATAACTTTCTTTAGATTTAGCAAATAAAAATGAATGCAAAACCAGATAAGGGGAAAATAACATTTAGAAATATCCCCGATCGTATAATTATGTGCAACCTTCATATAGATTTGGGCAGTCTGTACAGAACAGATGGCGTTCCAGACCCCATACCTGCACAAAGCGGCAGACTAATAAAGACCAGAATGATGTAATCTCAAGCCCATGATGTCCTGCTCAAGTGATATCCTGAGGATCACAAAGCAAGGAAGTTGGGGTTACATTCAACATTTCCCCAGAGATACTGCACACCTGGACTTCAGCCAAACCTTTTTCCTCCAACAGAGATCAAGATTTGTAAAAGCTTGGCTATGAAGCAACTTTGCCTCCTGTCTTATTGAGTTTATTAAAAGCCTCCCGAGACACGGATAAGGGCTTTCTAAAAGGGGAAATGAAAAACATTTCACAAGCATGAAATGACAGAAAGGTTTGCACAATCCATCACAGCAGCAATTAGTCAAATATAACTTCAGTAAGTTTGGTGTATCACAAGTAACTATGCACAATTTGTATTATGAAACATTCCAAGAGGAAGAGTAGCAAATGGACAAATGATCACGAGTGTTCAGTAAATAATCAGGCCACTCAGCATGTGCTCAGTCCTTCCCATGTGATGTCTCCTTATCTCCCCCCTCTAGAAGAAATATGAACACTTGTGTAAACAGAGAGCACAATTAAAATCAGCGGAGTCACTATAGTTGAGAAAAAGGCTGCACACTTATATTTAAGGAACTAGTTGAGCATTAGTGATAAAGAACTGTGGAATGGACATGCACGCATCTGTTCTTGTAATGACCAACTTGTTCACAAACTTCCTCTTACAGAAATGCTTCGAGTGTGTACATGCCACTACTGTTTGCTTGCTGATTAACAATAAACATGTACAAGAAAACCATTCATGAATTGCTTCAAACTGCAGCTCTGAGTTGTCCAGTCACTTAAATCAGCTCCTTTTATTAGATACAGCAAGTTGAGGAAATTTGCACAGGAAATCCACGTCGTTTGAACACATAATATGGTGGAATAATATGCATAGAAGTACAAGGAATATACTCGTATGCAAGTGTCTTTAGTGTTCTTTCAGTGAAATGAGCTCTCATATAGAGCCAGAATACAGTGTACAATCTACATTTTGCATTAGTTACAACTTATACACTTCTTTGTTCTGCGGTCGGACAGCGAGTCGGAGATCCTGGATTAAAGTGCCTCTGTTTTCAGTTCAGGAATGGGCACGGCATAAACAAGGCAGTCACTTTCTGCATGGAATGTTCTCTAGGTAAACCAAAGCCCCCCCCCTCTTCAATCCTTATGCTTCTTCAAAGTCACTTTCACTAAGGTTGCAGCGTTTTGCATCCCTTTTAAGACATTTGCCAAGACAGGAATCTTAAAAAGTCTTTAAAAGATATTCATCATCTGTCGAAGAACTCAAAGATCACAATGCACAGCAGTCGATGACAGAAGTTATCATAGATGCGGATAGTGGCTCTTTCTCAGCAGGTAGAAGGGACGTATATTGATTGACAGGGCGCAACCTCAATAGGATTTCTGTAAGGTTGCATCTCATGGTGTCCAAGGATTTGCAAGGGGTGATGCAGAGGGAGGCAAGACAGCACAGTGCTAAGATTAGCTGTGGCGCGGCATCTCACATGTCTCACAGCGGTTGAGTGCAGGGTGGTTGAGGAAGGTGCAGCTTTCACAATGCCACTCAGCGCCTTCAAAATCCTCATCTCTTGGGGCTGCCGGCACCAGCTTTGAGACCTGTCCCAGTTCTAAAAACAAAAGTTTATTAGCAATGAGTGCAGTAAAAATGAACTTCATTAAAAAAATTAAAAAAACATGCTACATCAATTTCGGTGTTTCAGCTGAGGACTGGAACTAGTTTTGGATGTCAGCAGATGTGCATTCAAAGCAACTACTATCCAATTACTGGTAGACGTGGCAGTTTAATAAAAAGCAAGGTTTCTTATCTAGTTTCCATGCCAACAGATCAGTGGAAGATAATACAGATCAAATTGAGGCAAGCTTTCTGTAAGTCTCAAAACAAAAGGTCTTTTTCACTCTGTGTACTGGGATAAAATAAACTCCAACTGTAGCTGAGTAAATGTATGAAGTGGTAAATGGTCCACACTTAAAGCACCTTTTTAGTCTCATGTTCTGTAAAGTGCTTCATAAGGTTTTTCATTCATCCATGCATCTTAATACAGTGCTTTCCATTATAAATTTCACTCCGTATGTAGAGCACTTCATATTTCACTTAAACAATAATGAGAATATCGGGGGCAGCGTAGGAGTCTGCTCAAAGTTCAAGGTTCTTTATTGTTATTCACATCACATGTGGTATACAAGGTGGAACGAAATTGTGTACTCAAGGTCCCAGTTACACCCAAAAATAGCAAAAAGTATAAAAAGAAACGGTATATAAGGATCTAAGATATACACTAAATGATCTAAGATATACGCTAAACACTAATAATTTAAAATAAAACTGTATATTAAACTGCAGCCCAAACATGAGTCTTAGTAAGCAGATGGGTATGACTACAGCAGCATAAAGTCAAGAGATCAGCAGCATGGATAATCAGCAGCACAGATAAGTCACATATCAACAATTAAAGTGGCATTACAGTGATTTTTCTGTGTTGCTCAAAGACACTTTGGCACACTTCAGAGGCCAAGCCACTCCCAATGTAATGATTACATTTTACTTTTATTATTATAATTAAACTAAACAATATCTTGTGTGCTTTACAGCGATTTCCAGAAACTGTCAGTAGCCCTCTTCTTGTGTTTTAAAAACTGCAGGAGTTTTTACCTTTCCTCACAGTGTTGGATGGGACTACTGGACCAGGCTGAATGTTGTCATAGAAGTTGCTCATTGCTTTGGGATCAAACTTCCCTGTGGAGGAAAACGGAGATCAGAAACCAGGTTTGAATTTGTTTAAATGTGTTCATTCCAGCCCGCCGGGTTCTGTTCAAGCTGGTAAGTTTGGCTGATTTGGGTAAAATAAAATAAAAACATTTTTTTTAAATGAAGCTGCTTCTGTTCATTTCATGGTTGTTATACAACATATTTGGAAGAAGTTTAATTCTATTCAGATTTTGCAACAGGATTGCAGACTTTACTCATGTCTCCTGTTATCATATAAGGCTTTACAGCATTCTAACATATTGAAAGGGTTGAAACTGAAGAGTACATTCTTAAACCATGGGATGGCCAGTTCCATTTTATTTTCAGATGAATACCTGAAATAGTGAGCACCAAAAAAAAAAAAAAAAAATCCTTGTGCTTTTTCAGTGCACAACTACTTTTAGAAAAGAAAAGTTGTCAGAAGAGTTCATTTTTAAAGTGTCATTGTAAAACTAAAAAGTGGTCTTAATTGAATTGAGAGGGAGCACCTATTTTAAATCAGTTTTATGATATTCATTACCAGTCTTTAAGACATTTTCCTGCATTGAGTGTACTACACATAATTCACACAGAAACAATGCAGAAAGTTCATTATTTAACTTTATTAGGTTTCCATCATTACCTGTAGTTAGTCTGTAACGTGTGAAATAAACTGAAATACAAGCAAGTCCTGACAGAAACCAAGCTACAAACTGTAAGATAACACTGGACTCCCTGAAGATAAATCAGTTTCAACAGTAGTCACACAACGTATGTGCGCTGTAAGATCCACAAGCGTAACACAAGTTTTATAAATGTGTACTACAAAAATCCACAAATGCATAAGCAGTTTGCACATTTCAACATATACACATTTCAATTTGCACAAGTAGGAATATTCTGTACATACAAATTGTCAAATACACGTGCACAAACCACCTGTCGTGGACAACTCGGTAAACACAAGCACACAGATCAGTTTATCTGCGAATAGGACTTTTGAGACTTTCACAAAGGTAATGCACATTTAAGGCTGGTTAAAAAGCTGGGACATGCAAGCCTTACCTGATTTACGGACTTATTGGAAAACAACAGATTTCCAACTCAGCACAGTAGCTCATAACCCCAATATTAAAACGCATATGCACATTAAAAGGTGCATGTAAAAGAATTAGAAAATGTGAAAAAGTTTAATTTTTTTTGTCACTCATTTTAGAAAGTGAAACTCATATACATAGATTCAATAGAGTGAAACAGTTCAAGACTTTTATTTCCTGTAATTTTGATGATTATGGCTTACAGATAATGAAAATAAATTCAGTGTCTCAGAAAATGAGAACATTTCACAGCCAGCTTTTGGTACCTTTGTCAGTGTGGGCAGGAGCCAAGTCCTGCTGGAAAATGACATGAGCATCTCCATAAAGCTCGTCAGCAGAAGGAAGCATGAAGTCTCTAAAGTGTCCTGGTAGATGCTGCATTGACTCTGGACTTCAGAAAACACAGTGGACCAGAACCAGCAGAGGACATGGACCCAAACCATCACTGACTGTGGAAACTTCACTCTGGACTTCAAGCAACATGGATTCTGGGCCTCTCAACTCAACTTAAACTGAGAAGTAAATAAGTCCCCAAGTCCTCTAGACTCTGGGACCTTGATTTTCAAATGACATGAAAATGTACTTTAATCTGTAAAGAGGACATTGAACCACTGAGCAACAGTCCAGTTCTTTGTCTTCTCAACAGGTAAGACACTTCTGATGTTGTCTCTGGTTCAGGAGTGGCTGGACTTGAGGAATGAGACATTTGTAGCTCACGTCTTTGAGTTAATCAGCTGATCAGGGTGTGACACCAGGAGTTTACAACACTGAACCTCTTCAAAATATTCAAATTTTCTGAGACACTGAGGTTTTTTCTTTTTATTTGTAAGCCATAATCATCAAAATTACAAGAAATACAAGCTTGAAATATTTCACTCTGTGTCATGAATATATGTAATGCATGAGTTTCACTTTCTGATATGACTGACAATTTTTATTTTAACTTGGTCACAATATTTAAATTTTTTGACGTGCATTTGTACACTTAAAATATATTTATTTTTATTGGGTTTTTTTTCCTCTGCTAAAAATACTGGGAAATATATTTTAGCAGAAGTAGATTTTCCACAAGAAGAAAATGTTAATTTTGTGGACTGTACAACTGAAATAAATGAGAGATGGGTAGGTTGTTCATCTTGTGGAAAAATGACAAAGAAAATATATTTTTAAATAAATAAATAAAATGAACAACAACATGCTCATTTTAGGTAGTTTATTTTAACTGTACATTTCCCTTAATTAATGTTTTTGGAATACAGTAATGTTAACGTCAGCAGACATAAAGACCATCTTTCAGGTTGTCCAGACAACAACCTCTTGACAAAATCTGGTTGTCCACCAACATTTTTGGTTGTTCACAATCTTTACAACGAAGACAAAAAAAAAATCCCAGGAAATATGTAATTTAATAAGTATATTGCACTATATTCCAAGATTACTACGGTATATACAAATGTTCACAGTCAGCTATCTTGCAGACTGCTTGGACTGTCCAAATTACTGCGTGGCCGACTCTTTCAGGAGCTGCTCGAGTGGAACTTCCTCACTCTCCTCCTCCTCCTCTTCCTTGTCATAAGGTTTTACAATACAAGCACTTGCAGCATATTTAAGGCAGGGATTAAAACAGACAAAAATATTTTGAATGAAAAATTTTCTAAACCTAGAGGTTAGGTTTTTTTTTTTTTGTTTGTTTGTTTTTTTTATCACAAATCATCCTCTGCAGCAGGTAGGTAACACAGAACAAGTACACAAACAAATAGAAAACACAAGTTTTCCTACAAACACCACATATGTGTCTACCAATCACAAATCCACCATTTGTCCAGAAATTATGTACACAGTAACTAAACATTATTTATGTAAAACTTTATTACCACAGTAAAACTTTAGACATTTAAATTACTCACACTACTAGCCCCCCCGATAAACACAATTCCTCAAGCAATATTTAATCTAATAATCAAAGATTTTCAACCTAATAACTGATGGTTGATGACTGAATCAAGCATCCCTGAACTTTAACAACAAAATTTATTCTGAGTATTGCCGATGACGTTGATTTATTACGGCAACCTCACTCCTGCTGTTGCAGGAGGCTGTGAAGCAGCCCCTCTGTATCCCTCCTCCCACACAGACACAGCATGAACAGGTGAGCCCAGTCAGCTCTTGTCACCTTCTTATGTGAGATGTGGGACATGGGGAGAGGAGGAGGCAAAAATCATCCATCTGGGATGGTCCTGTCCAAATTGGTCCCGTTTCATTTTTACACATGATGAAAATCCATCATGGCGACAGAGAACTTTAACCCCCGTCTATTTCACGTAATTGCCCACCGGACAACCTCGAGACGAGATCTGGTTGTCCAGTGAGGAAAATGAGTTGTCTCAGACAAATGGAAACCGTTTATGTCGACCCCGTGGAAGCGTAGATGTTTTAATATAGAGTTTATCATCTACTGCGCCAAGTTAGAAATGTGTCTTTTCCCATTATCTCAGTAAATCTGGTAAAGCTTAGATGTCCCATCTTTTTACCAGCCTTGAACGCAGCGTTACCTTTATGAATCTGAAACAGCAGTAAAATCTCAAAAGTCACATTCACTGGCAAACTGATCCGCGCGCTCGTGTCGACTGGTTCATCCACAGCAGGTGATTTGTGCACGTGTATTTGATAACTTGTAGGCACAGAATATTCCTACTTGTGCAAATATTTGACAAAATGCTTATGCATTTGTGAATCTTGTAGTACACATTTGTAAACGGTGTGTTACGCTTGTGGAGTTCATTGTACGCATACAAATCTTGTTGTGCGCTTGTGGGACTAGTTTTGAAACTGCTTTAACTTCATAGGATTCAAAAACATTTTCCTGGAGGACAACTGCTCAAAACATCGGAGGTATTGGGTTGATACCAAGTAAATTGTTCACACTCTTGAGCCTGCTGCCATGAAACATTTTTAATGTCCAACATTTCAACGTAAACTGACGCCTGCAGCTTATTTCCTTATTTGATCACAGTAAGCTGCTTTATCAGTTATAAAATCAATGTGGATCATGTCTCAGCCACACTTGTGTGCACTGACTAGAGTGAGGGTCCAGCAATGAAGTGACTTTTGGGGTCCTGCTCCAGACCAATCATTTTCAGACGCTGCATCTGTATGCACCATGACGGATCCTCATCCATCATTTCAGGCCCAACTCTGTCTGCTTTGGGGCTTGGTTCTTTCAAGATCAATGCTTTCAAATAAATCAGAATCACACTTCAAAGGTTTATGCAGGAATGTGCATTCATGTTTTTGCTATTGTGAATGTGTGTGTGTGTGTGTGTGTGTGTGTGTACCCCTGGACTGCAGTAGATCTGTCTCCTTCAGTGTGCAGTCAATATCAATCTGCAGCTGTCTGTTCAGACTTCGGAGTACAGTCATTTCTTCAGGCTGCATTGAATGCAAACAACCCAGTTAGTTTAGGTAAAAATGGAACAATTAATAATCCACATCTTCTGTTTTAAGTCTTTGTAATTAGGCTATGTTTTTTTTTTCTACCAGCTGATTTAGTCCCAGGGTGTGTTTAATACACCAACAACTTATATGACCACAATATTTAAAGGCAGCTTGAAGTATTTTTTTGTCTTTGAAATATCCTGACAGTTTCACAGCTTGTGGTTTTCACTTTTGTCAGCAACTGGGCAACGTCTAACTTGACTGCAGTTGTATATTTCTAGCTGTGTGTGCAGGTCTAAACACATCCTTACTTTGGGTATAAGATTTGTGGCGTTGACTCTTCGAAAGCGCCTTTGAAGGGCTTCGTATTCCATGTTATTGACATCTGCCTTCAGCTGCTCCAGTTTCTGTTTCTCCAGCATCAGCTCCTTCATTAAACGCTCCATCCTCGCTCGCTGATGGAGCAGAAGAGCTGTGGTGGTGCATACCAAACATAAAAAAAAAAGTTTAACAATCAAAAGTAAAAAGCAGTTTCATTCACAAATCACTTCTGACTTTTATTGTTGTACCCAAAACCACATGAAGAAACTGCATTTCACTGATTATGCTGTTAAAATATGGAAAACCTGTGATATTATTAACAAGAACCACTTTTACATATGCATACTTAAATCTAGGATTCCTGAAATAATAATTGTAAGGCACTTTTATTTATAATAGTCAAATATGATGCTTTCTGAAAAAGAATTTAGACTATTTGTCAGATTGGTAGCAAAACAGTGGCATCAAGTGACTGCATCAATAAAACAGTGCTTTAGGATGTTCAGGAAATTAAACAGTGTAGTGGGATTGTGCTCGCATAGCATTTGTACACACTTATGTTGCACTCACACACTTGTTCAACACTTTTTTCTTTGTTTACCTTGTGTGTAGGCATAGTCATCAGAGCCTGAGCTTGAACGTCGGGGCAGCTGCTGAAACTGACTGGCAATGTTCCCTGGCAGCACAGAGATGGGCAGAATGGGCGCGGTAGCGTTGTGTTCTCCTTGATCTACCATGTTGAGAAGAGACTCTGCTTCAGCAACAGGGGGCGAGCTCGGTGGCCTCTGAGCCTGGCCTCCAGGGGACACTTTAATTTTAAAGGTATATGCTGACTGGCCCGGCTGAGGAGATGAGGCAGGCCGTGGCCTGTACATTCCAGGGTGGAAGGCTCCAGGTCCTGGAGATCCACTAATTGTGACGCCCCTCGATGGGGAGCTGGGTGAAGGGCTGGTGGCCATGTAAAGTTGACCCTGGGGGTGTGGGGTGTGCACAGGCGAGTTGCTGCGAGGTCGCGGACCTTCAAGAGTAATCTCTATCTGTTTTGTCAGTGGGTTTTTTGTGTGGTAGGGCCGGTAAATAGCTTGCTGGGGTTGTTGCTGGTGATGGTAGGACATGCTGGGATGAGTTGGAGAATTAATAGGGAAGGCATATTGCTGGTGCCCGGGTTGAGGCTGGGGTTGTTGCTGAGGTTGTGGCTGGACCTGATGTTGGGGGGAGCTGTAAGGCGAGCCATATGTGGGCGTACTGTAGGGGGAATGCTGATGCTGATAGACCGACGCCCCTGAGGAGGGCCAGGGTGATGGTTGCGGACTCTGAGAAGGTGAGGGTCGAATGTACAGGGGGGTGTTGGTGTTGTTAGGGTAGTGTCCTGGAATCATCTGCAGAGCCTGTGGGACATTAGGTATACTTGGGGAAAGAGTGACCGTTATAGGGTTTATAGTATATCGTGGAACAGGGGTGTATGTGGGGGACATGCCTTGAATTGTGGGAGGGGGGGTGGGCGTGTTAGCTGAGCGGTTCTGATCATTCATAAAAAAAGGATTGTACCCTGGGGATGGAGCCATAGTGGCAGGAGCTGACAATGGTTCAGGGTAGCTGGGCCGCTGTGGTTCGATGTGACTATCACTGGTGCTGTGCACCAACAAGTGTCCCATTCCAGCTCTTCCTCCATTAGACTGGTTTGCTTCTGAGCCTGGGAAGCCCAGGTTGATGTGCAGCATGTGGTTCTGGCTCAGTCGCACCTCTTCTGGACTCTGATGGAACTCTTCATACAAGTATCTGTTACTCTCCTGGGCCAGTAGGCGGCAGCAAAGATCCAGATTATTGTTGTTCTGAGAAGGAAACAGACAGTAGATCTTTTAATGTAGTTCAATAGTTAATCTTGCAATCATACTCTCCAGGTCGACATTGAATAATAATCAAAGTTGATAGTTGGTGTTTAAATTTATGACATCGTCAACAACTGATGCTGACTACTACCTAAAAGGCTGTAACTGTTCAAGATACATATTTGAGAATACTGTTGTTTTAAAGTTCTTTCATTAGGCAACATCAAATACAAAGTCAGCCACACTGAAGGTGCTGATGTAAACAAAGAAACACACATTTTCTAGTCAAGAAGGCAAATTACTGTCTAGTTTGGTTGTTTAAATTAATCTGATAGTGAGAAAAAAACACATTCCTACGAACTAAAAAAAAGCAATAAAAAATTAGGGAGATGAATACCATAAACTGTCAGAAAAGTTTTGTTGTCTGTAGTGTGGCACAATACTTGGAGCAAAATTCAAATATATAAAGTAATTGATTTTTTTTTGTTTTGTTTTTATTTACAGGTTTACCATGTACATCATCATTTTTGCCTTTATAGATGATGAATGGACAGACAGCAAACAGAAATCTGTGCACATGAAAGCCCTGTCACATGTACTGTAGCAGTATTTGTACACATATAACTAAGATAAGTGCATTTTGAAGCAAGCAATCAATGATCATCAGTTTCTGACAATAGATGTGTTGTTAACAGGTCCAGTGCACGGTGTATTGTTTAAGCTTTTAATTGCATTTCAGTGTGCACCTATTCCGAACAGCTTTGCTTGAATGTCTTGGATTCATCCAGAACACATCTGGTTATAGTTTTTGAATGACTATAGGTTGTCTGAGGTGTACGAGGGTCATGGGTGGAAATTCCACCTGTAAAAATGAGATTTTTGAAGAGCAAGTTTTCAGGGGTGTCTCAGTCAAACGTACTGCTGGAAAACGAAACGAAAATTAAACATTCATTTTTGTGTTTGCCAGACAGAGAAATTGCAGAAACTAAACTAACAGAAGGGCCAGCGTCTTTCTACACCCTCTCCCAAGACAGTTTTTTGCCTCTTTAAAAGTGCTTCATCCAGCTTCTGAGTCACATGGACATGAGACTTACAATATAAGCTTTATCTTCTTTTTACAAATATATAAAACCATATAAACTATACTGAAAAATTGTTCCAACATCTGACATGCATCCATACACAATAGTAAAGTCCAAATGGAAGAATTTATCACGTCCACAGAGAGAATGGTGCATATGGCGACCTATGACCATAGGAAACAATCTTCATTCTTCCAAAATTGGAGGGTGGGGGATCCCGGCCCCTAGTTCACAGAATCTGGGTAGGAAATCCCAAGAAGATCTGGATCAGCACACAAATCATACATTGTTTTATACGGATCTTCATTCCTACAAGATTTTATTTACGTTAGCTCATTATCCCTCAGCTCCAATCCGCCTCGATATATGTTAACGGGTTCAAATTGATTTTTTTACAACATTGTAAAAATATATTTAATTTTGTAGGCACAGGTAACAAAACTTTGTTTATTACTGTAAGTTGCTCCACAAGAGATGTGCATCTGGGATTTTGTACATCAGAATCAGTGCCTACCCTACAGGCAAATGCAAATATTACTGCCAATTACTGCCTATAAAGCACAATTATTTAAAGGAAGCATTTTTACAATGCTTTTTATTAAAATTTAACAGTTAGTGCTGCATACTGTTTAGTCAATTAAATCTATATAGCTCTGTGTTGTGCAACCATCCTCTGAAATATATGTCTGAATGGTTTAAATAAATAAATAAACTGGGTGATGAATAAAATGTGATGTTGTGCACTAAACAAGCAAACCTTTACCAAAACAACACTGCCAAAAGCATTTTGAGAAGATGCAGGAATATATTGTGCAACATGTGTTTACAGTACCTGCAGAAGGTACTGTGACACAACCCCCTCTGGGATCTCGGGGAATCTCTGCTTGAGGTCCTGCAGGATGTGATAGTCGATCTGAGAGCCTCCCTGCGCCATCCTCTGAGCCAACACCAAGTGTCAAAGCACCCAAAGCTGCAAATGCTCAAATAACCAACCTCGCCTCATCCCTTAAAAAAAATGCAGACAAAAGGCAGAACTAGCGATTAGAACTACCATATCAGGAGACAACCTGCAATAAGTTTGCAAAGACTCAGATGGCTTGCAACAGTTCTCTTGCACACACAGTGTCAGCAGCAATCTCCATAAAGATATCATAAAAATGTTGATGCAATTAAAAACTTTTAGCATGAACACACATCCCATCAATAAAGAACACTCAAATATAGCATCATCTAAGTTTGCTCGTGTTGAGTTGTCTTAGCATACCTGCCGTTTTTCTTGTTAAGTCATACTTTTTACACCAAGCAACGACGACACCTAACATTAGCTACTACGCTAATCAGCGTCAGCTAGCTTCCGGAGACCAGTCAAACAGCAGCACCTGTGTGTGCTGTGTGGCTTCAGGGGGGCACAGCGACACTATTTCTGACAGATTAACTGATGTCGCCTGCAACTGACTCGGCTACACAATCCTCTAAACAAGACTTCTGTTCAAGTACGATTAACTCAAGTCCAGAGCTGCCAGCAGGCTAACTTTGCTAACGCTAACCCTGTGTTGACTGCTCAGCTGTCACAAGCCAGGATGTTGATGGATAAACCAGCTAACTATGCTAAGACAGTCAACGGGTTCATTTTAAACTCACCAAATGTTAAGAGTCACCCCCGCGCTGAGGTTCATAGCTGACTCCCGAGGGGAGCAGACTAATTTCCGAAATAATGGGGTGACGTTTTCCAATATTTTGATTTCGGCAAAATAACTTATAGTTTCGCATTCCAGCGTCGGGCCCCTTCCCCTGAACTGCATAGCAGTTAGGTTATCGCGAGAATGTCAGCATTTCCCGGAAGTGGAGGAAGTTTTTTTTCTTCTTTTATTTATTTATTTGTTTATTTATTTAGGTAGTAAGAACAATTTACAAACAAACCAAGGCAAACGATGCTAATACAAAGTAAGGATTGAATTTCACAGGTTGAGTTGTATACACTAAAAAGTATAAACTAATACAAAAAATGTGCATAACAAGTCTATTATAGGTTTACAATTCATTTCAGTTTATTTATATAGCGCCAAGTCACAACAGAAGTCGTATCGGGGAACTGAACAGAAATATTTATATATAAAAGATAAGTTTACAGAAACAATCATATTTAAAAAATAATAATGTAACATTATTTATCTGAGGAGCAGACTGCTTAACTAAGACTGAAAATGTTATTCCTACGATGCTCACTCCAAAAACTAAAACCTCAGTCTTGTCTGTATTCAAAAGCAGAAAATTAGGGTCATCCAGGTTTTTATGTCTTTATTGTAGTCTAGGTATCAGGGGTGTCAAACTCAATTACAAAAGGGGGCCAAAATTAAAACCTTTTTCAAACTAACGGCCAATTTCAGAATCTACATTAACTCAAGTCAGATACCCAACATCTTTTCTTGGTCACAGGTTCCTCAGCAAGAGTTTGATTGATCTCATTTGATGTTCTCTGCTGTACTTTCAACATCATAATCAAAGATTACTGAAAAAAAAATTCAAGAGAAGTATTTTACGTTTCACATATCATCTTGAGGGCCAGAAAAAATGTCAACGAGGGCCACATTTGGCCCCTGGGCCTTGAGGTTGACATATATGAAGTAGCTGATTGGATTCATTGGGTTTCATGGGCAAGTATAACTGTGTATCATCAGCATAACAATGAAAATTTATCCCATGCTGTTTAATAACATTACTTAATGGAAGCATATACAAGGTAAAGAGTATTGGTCCAAGTACTGCACCTTGAGGAACTCCATGAATAACTTTGGTGTATGTTGATGAAGATTCATTATTTACATTTACAAATTGGAATCTATCAGATAGATATAATTTAAACCAATTTAGAGACGTTTCTGTAATTCCAATATGTTCAAATCTCCGTAATAGAATATTATGATCAACTGTATCAAATGCAGCACTGAGGTCTAACAGGACCAGTGTAGACACCTGTCCATTGTCAGAGGCCATGAGAATATCATTAGTGACTTTCACCGGTGCAGATTACAACAAATAAAAGTTGTTAATCAAAGTATAAAGTTTTTGAGCAGATTTACTTTTAACTAAATTAAGAGACTCATAAAAACATTTCAGGTAACTTTCCCAATGACATAAATTTGGATTCGCCTTAAAAAAAAAAATCTACATTTACGAACAAAAAAACTTTCCTAGTAATATTAGGTTATTAATTAAAATTTCTATTTTAGAGTTTTGAAAATAAATGCCAAATTGTATTGTTGTTAAAGTCAGAGCTGGTAGTTAAATTCCCCGGGCCTGAAGCCAACCCCACACTGCTCCAAAAGTCCTGCGTGATCGAAAAGATGATATAAATCCTCCTCTTCATCATCACAGAATGTGCATCCAGCAGTATCAAACTTAAATCTAGATCTGATAAAAGCATTCGTTGGGTAGATGTCATTTATAATTTTAAAATGGACAATCTTAACTTTTGGAGGAAGTGGAAAAGAGGTATATTTTGTCCTAATTTTAGAAATTATATCCATTCTACAATCCTTAAGAATATAGTGCCGTTTGATCTGACCAGGGTACAATTCCTTGCGTAAAACTCTCCTCATGAGCTTGTTTGTCTTTTTTATGTTTTTTATGTTTTCTAAACAGTTGACTTAGACCAGGGGACATTTTGGAATGAATCAAATCTTTAAACATAGATTTAAAAGCTCTTTATCTTGCTTTTATCAGCTTGTTGTAAGTCTTAACATCGCAAACAAGATTAAATTTCAAACAAAATTTGTTGAATGATAATATATATCACCATCATCATTCATGAAGTGTGATATAGTCCCAATACCTTTCAAAAACAAGAACTCTAAACGTAAAGATTTTCTTTAACATAAAGCATACCTGTTGTTCCAAACTGGAGTATCATGTGGTGTGAAACTGTGTTTCTACAGGAGTTTCCAAAAGAGCAGAACCTGCTGGTAACAATCTGACAGTTTGATGGGTAACTTATTATAATCAAAGTCACATCTCAAGATAAAATCAGTTCCACCTACAGCTTGAAAAATATAATTAGGAATCACAAACCAGAAAGACTGTGAACCATTACAAAATTATTTCAACCAGTCAAGTTTCAGAACACCATTCATGGCGCTAAAATCAACGACAGCCACCTTCACATTCCTCATAGTTTTTAACTATATCTTCTTTTCTGATGTAATGACATTTGTTCTTCCATATACAGTTAAAATTGAATTGTTTATGACCCTAAAGATGGTGGGACTGGTAGAGAACACACTGGGGAAAGAGGAGGAAGTTTGACTCGAAGTTCTCAACACTCAGTGTACATCAAGGTCAGTCAGGTACAAGGTCAGCCATCAAGGTACAATCAGGTCTGTCCAAATAAAGGTTGAATGAACATGCGTGCAATTCAATTCAGTTCAACAACAAAGTCCATGCTCAATAATCCAGGTATACAATCCAACATTTCTCAGTCAGGTCATCTGGACAGTTTCTCTTTTTCTTTTTTTTTTTCAATTCAATTCAGTTTATTTCACCAAGTCACAACAGAAGTCATCTCAGGGCACTGAACAGGAACATTCATATATAAAAATAATAAGTTAACAAAAACATTCATAAAAATAATAATTTAACACTATTTATCTGCTTTGAATTTAACTCCATCACAGACTCTCATCTTGAGCAAGCATGAAGGCGACTGTGGAAAGGAAAAACTCCCTCCCTCCCATGCAGGCTCAGGACAAACGGCCATCTGCTTCAACCAGCTGGGTTTGAGAGGAACAGATACACAATGGCAGGTGAAGAATCACATGTTAAGATAGAAATAGTATCACATGAATAGGTCAGTTTGTCCTCTAGTAGTTGAGCTTAAGGCAGCATAACAAGCCAACCCTAATTATAGGATTTATCAAAAAGGAAAATCTTAAACCCAGTCTTAAAACTGGACAATGTGTCCCACTATCAGAAATTTATTCGCTTCTTTACGTTTTTCAACATAAATCGTTGCCCCAACAAAACTTTTCTGTGAATAATAGATAATTCAACAAGCTATAGACCTATCAAAGCTGTTCATCAGCTCTCAGACATATTTAATATCATAAATGCCGTTTCATATGTGCAGCCTGCAGGAACGAGATTTCAGAGTTCATCCATCTGACTTCTTTTTTCAAGACTGGTTCTGTCACAATGACATAAACAGACAGTCACAATACAGAAAAGCATGAACAGCTTCTTATAAAAGACAAACGCTCTGTTCTGAATTAATTATAAAAAAGGTCAAATGCAACTTTGATTTCAATCATGGTAAAAAATATTGTGTTAGAGGTTATTGCCTGTCTGTTATGTGATGAATGCTTTCCAATATTTGTGATATTACCATTAAGAGAGTTTGCAAATTTTATATTTTTGTCTAATTGCTTTGACAGTTGCCTAAAACATAAACTTTCATATGTTTTCCTTAAATGTATTCTATTGAAGAGGGATTATTTGTGATTAATGAGGAGGGGCACTGCTGTTAACTGTTAACAAGCCAGTGATGAAGAATTTTATAATGTTTGATAGTTATTATGTTATAAGTGCTTTTTATTACTAGATATAACTGACAATAGTAAAAACTTTTTACACTCTGCAAAATAATTAATTTTTTAAAGAGGATGTTTTGGGTTTTATTCACAAGATTTTGAAAACCTATTTACTATTATACTATGTATTATAATACTATGTATTCAGCTTTTCACCTGCTGCTTTTGAAGGCAGCAGCTTCTCTGTGGTGGAGTTCCTGTTCCTTCTCGTGACAGCTGGGTGCTCAGAAGCGCAGCAGAAATTATGACACCACCTCCTGTTGCTCAAGAGAGAAACCACAGAAACATCAGTGACCAAACTAAAGCTGCATTTTAGAACCTTCAAACATTCACAAGAAAAGCCACCTAAGTCTAACTTCACACACAATTACAGAGACGCATCATAATATAGAAAATAAAGCATTCACCTTTCATTTAACATTACAAATATTGATGTAATTTTCAACCAGATAAGAAGGTTTGACCTGACTCTCAAACAGCCTGATAATTAGCAATCTGCATTTATCTATGGAACAATTTGCAGCATAAAACATTTCTCGTCTATGTTTTAGATTTGGTCACATTTATTCTGGTTGTAACACATGGCCACAACAAGAGCACAACAAACAGTCCTCAGAACTGATACTTGGTGTTAGCAGACTATTGTGCCCATTTCTGCTGCTCTAAAGAAATAAAAATCCTCTAATTAGGAGATAGTATTTCAAAATTATGACTTATGTTATTTCAGAATTATGAAATACTATCTCATAATTATGACTTGGCATGCATGGCTTAGCATATCATTATTATAAGATGTTAAGATATAATTATGAGATGCTAGAGACTTGGATTTTTTTTCAATAAAGTAATAGAAATGTGTTTCCATAGTCCAGTAAATCAGGCTACAAGTCTTGTTTTTTGTTACATCAATGATGCAGTGTCACAGTAGCAATACGTGTTTTTGTCGGAGAGGTAACTTGTATTTTTTGTGTGCTTCTGTGCACTTTTTTGAACAGTGTAATTAACAAAAAAATCAACTTGGCAATTTTACAATTTGTATGTTTGTCATCATTTAATTGAATGCAGGGAACAGCACCTAACTTCTTGAATGATTTGTTGGCAATCAGTGGAACAAGATGTGATTGTTCCTGCTCCAGCTTTTGCGCCGCTCAAGGTGGCTGCATGTTGAAGTAGCTCTCTTACATTCATTCAGAGTCAGAGTTTCTTTATTGTCATTCGCACCTCATGTGGTACATGTGGTGGAGCGAAATTATGTACACAAGGTCCCAGTTACATCCAACAATAAAATGTACAAGAAAACCAGTAATAACATCTAAGATATGAACTAAGAAAAACATCAACTAAATATACACTAAGCACTCATAACATAAAACATTGAACATCAGCACAAATATGAACATGAGTCTGTGAGCAGATGTGCACGCATGAACACATCAACATTGAAACAGATCAGCAGCAACATGAAACAGATCAGCAGCAACATGATATGGTTTTCACAGTGATTATTCTAGTTAGAGATTCATGAGTCTAACAGCCTCAGGGTAGAAGCTGTTCCTCAGTCTAGTGGTTCTACACTTAATGCTCACTTAATACTTAATTCTGAGATTGTGCTTTTGAAAACTTTGTTTCTTCTTTTTTCTGGATGTAATTTTGTTTGCTTTTTTGTTTGTTTTTTTGGATGATTACTTTCTCTGGTATCAGGTGCTGTGCCGCTAGAAGAATTTTTACTGAAGACTTTTTTATCTTGTGGACATTTGTTATGATGTGCAACCATGACAACAAGGGGGTTTTCTACAACCGGAAGCAGCTGATTAACATCTCAAAAGCTCAAATGATACCTCAACTGCAGCCCCAAATCCCAAATGAGTTGATAAGGAGGCACTGTGGATGCATTCCTGTCTACCTGGAGGCTGTGCTCAAGTGCCTGGCTGCCAAGATCTTGGAGGTAGTGGGAAACGTGGTTTGTGACAGTGGGGGGGGGGGGGCTGAGATCGTACCCAGGCACCTGCAGTTAAGTCTGCAGTGACGAGGGGCTTGGCAGGCTGCTGGGAGAAACGGCCATTGCTCTGGGAGGAGTCCTGCTTGACATTCAGGCAGTCCTGCTGCCCAAGAGGACTGAGAGGTCTGCTGGGTCTGGGTGGACAGGTTGGCATCTATAACCAGTTTCTTCAGATCCGCTGTGGGACGGACTGCTGCAGATCCTTCCTGCCCACAGCCATCAGCATCTTGAGCTACAACAATTGATTTCCCTTTGGGATTAATAAAGTATTTTTGAATTGAATTGAATTTGTTTTTTAAGAGTGACCTACCGGTAGTTTTAGTAGATGCTTAATATTTGTACTGTCAATATAGGTGTGGAGAAGTGTGTCACTCCACCTGCACATGGCAGAAGTTTGACCTGCCGAGCCAGTCTACTGACACCTCAGCAGGGGTGAGGGCCGTGCCACTACATTCAGAGGAGGGCTATGCTGTAGCAGCTGAGGCTCAGTCTGACTCAGGTTAGCTGTCCTTCCTGTGTTGATGAGTTGCCACAGCTGTGCTGCTATTTATAAAGCTGCCCTTGTTGTCTCGGATGCCCTGAAACACTCAGACCAGAAGGGGGCAGAGCCCTCAGACCCCTGGAGTTCGAAGAACTGACCCACAACCAACAAATGCATTTCCATGCATAGGAAAAATAAAAACATTCAAAATTTCCATTTACTTTAGTGTATGTGTTATTATATTTTATAACAAAAGCACAGCAAAGACTAGGACACGGGAACAATGAGACTAAAGAATGGGAATATCTGATGAGCTTGAATTACATTTGTTGGCTGTTTCATGTAAAAGACTCCATTCTCTCGTATTGTTTTAGTTTCAATACTTGTGTCTAATTGTCTAAACCTCAAGTGCTTCTTTTGCAGATTAAAAAAGCATTCATGCTCTGAGGAACATCATTTTTCAGCTTCTTTCTATTCCAGTGACACAGCGAGTCTCAGGTTGCAGTTTTGAGTATTAGCCCAAGCTTTGACCCTTCTGTTGGGGGTTTCCCAAAACCTTAACTTTGCTTGCTGGACACTGCTGAAATTTGGCATCTTTTACTACTTTGTTGTACTGTGACATTTATCTTTTAAAACAAAGATGTTAAAGCAGCCTTTTTGAACACTGCTGTGCTAATGCTGCTTTGGGATCTATGAGTTTTTGTGCGTCATTTCCCAAAAGGTATCTGTACAGTAATTCTGTTTTCATTTTCTGCCAGTTTGCTCAGTGAGTCAGCAGCAGTGCATAAGTCATTAAATGCGACAAAATATGTCTGCAGCACAGTTTCTATTTACACTCATGTACAGTGACACAGGCAGTTTCTTATGTTCTGCTTAAACAATGAGGTATGCTGAAAGCGTGTATGACCTCTGATGTGAAGAGGCTCTAGTTTCCAATGGCATGACCATGTGGTTTTATGTTTCAGGCCAATGAGATTTCAGCCTGTCTGTCTATAGTCTGACCAGAAAGGCAGCAACACAGTAGGTTGGGTATAATTCAGGCGTAACAGCAAGAAATCTGATGTCCCTCTCAGCTGATAAGTCAGGAATCCAACAAGAAGATAACAATGTCTGCATCTGTTTTTAGAATTCAGTCCACCTAACCACAAGTGTCCAGTTTCAAAGTTCAACCATGCATTTATTTTTAAATAAATGACATGCAAGACTGTGTAATAATTAGCGTAATAAATAAAAGAAGGTACCAAATGAGTGCTAAAACACTTCAAACAAAAAGACTATCAGAAAGTAGTCCAGCTGTGACAGTTGACTTGGATGGGCTCTTGTGCGCATGCGCGCTCTGGGCAACAGCTGAACGTGCTGCAGGCTCGCGCGACAGGGGAGTAACGGTACTTTTATGGGAACGCCTCGCCGACCCCCAGTCGAGCTGTAGCAGCTAGCAGACGTGTATCACTCTGTTCACTGCTCTGAGATTTACTTCTTCAACTTTTGGTACTCCTCAAAGTAAAATTTAAACCGAAACGGAGAGCACGACACCACACTGAGTAGGTAAATTATTATTATTATTTTTCAATATCACGTCGCAGGCTAAACTGATATTTAGCAGAAATAGCTAAATACGGTGTAAACTCTGGACTTGAAAAAAAATCTGGATTCATTATTTTCTTTGTTCAACCTGTTGCTGTTACTTTATGTATAGTCCAACATAAACTAAAAGTCTATACATCCTATTTTGAGTGTGTAAAACTCGTGCTTTGTACTGATTTATTGTGCTAGTTGTGTACAGAAATAGCTAGGACAGCTCTTTTAAAAACAAAAACAAAAAAATCTACTTATCTTTTGTTATTATTACATTAAAAGCCATTAAGTGTTTCAGTCCATTTTAAGCCAGATTCTCTGGAGAGTACTTCATGTTTAACTAATTATATAATTGAAATAGTCGTTTCCAAGCTCATCCTTAATCAGTAAACAACATAATTGTGATTCAGATGACTGTGGCTCCAATAGACACATTGCTACTGACTTTTAGTAAAATGACATGTTCCCATGTTATTCTGTGTTTTCTGTCACTTGGTATTCACCTCTGATTTATAAGAATGAAAGTGGAAGAAATAAAGATGCCAACATATTAACATATCATCATTAACTTCACGCAGACTCTCACTGGTACTTTTTCTTCTTTAAATCACTTCTTGGTCTGCTGCCTTCATACATCTCCTCCTACATGTCTCTGCGTGAGTGCAGCTACAGCGTGCGCTCTCAGGACATTATTACCTGCAGTGTTCCCTCAATGAGGACTTAACTAGGCAAAAGGGCCTTCTCCTACTCCGCTCCTGTTTCCTGGTATATCTTGCAAAATGATCTGAAGCTCTCAACTTTGACCTGTGGCTTTAAACATCTGCTAATTTCCAGGCAAAACCAATGCAGACATGTTCCAGTTTTTTGTATTCTACACCGCCTTACAATTTAGCTATTTTTATTATCTACTTTTCCTTTTAATTACCATTTTATTTTCATTTGTTAAAAAAGTATTTTCTACGCATCCTTTATGATTGTCTATTGTTGTCGTTGTTGTCCACTGTTGTCATCACTCTTTGTTAAAATTCAGGTCTCGTAAATGAGTCCCCCAGGATCAATGGGACTAACCTGTATAAATAAAGGTTGAATGAAAAGTAGCTTGATAGCTTGAACAGGGAACTCATCTCTGGTAGATTCAAGTGACTGAATTTTTCATTCATTCAACCTTTATTTAGACAGGTATATCCCATTGAGCCTCGAGGACTCATTTACAAGAGAGACCTGACCAATTACAGTGATTTCTTTCAACTGATGCTAGGTGAATTAAACATTTTCCTGCAATTCTGTTTTCTAAAACTCAACCCACCTAGAATATTCAGCATATTGAAAACTGACCATATTTAATGTCATTACATTAGATTTTGTGACACAAAACTGCTTGGGGAACTTTTATTTTCCAGCTGATGATTATTACTGATTTACCCATTGATGCCACCTCAGCCACACCTACATACTGAGTGTTGACAGTAGTTTACAGTGAAATAGCTAAGCTTGTGTTTAGCAGCATGGCGCCACAATATGATCTTCACATCCTGAAGAGTAAAGGTATTTGTGGATGCTAATAAACAGCAACTTCTTCCAGTGTGGGATGACTAACAGTTCACACTGCTTTCTTTCACTTAGCTTCAAGCCTGGCCATTTTGTCAAGGGTCTGCAGGGGCGACATGTGGGTGCCAGCTTCATCTTTGTCCAACTGCCTTCCACTTATCAGAAATAGCTATGATCACATGTTCTGGACTCCTAAGTGGGCTATAAATAGGAGTCAGCAAGCTTCCACTGCACACTTTCCTGACATAATGCGAAGTCAAACTATGTTTTTGCCCCTAACCTTGAGGTCAACAAGTCCCCTGTTTCTCTGTAAATAGAAAAAAACAAACAAGTAATATAGAGTAATTGTGAGAAATAAGCAATATTCTTTTAAACTGTTGTACTGTTGGCACTTTTTCAATATAATTTGAAAAAAAAAAAATAGAAGCAAATGATGCAGATATGCAGCAATCTAAAGTACAGAAAACTACAAGGCATCAAAAATCAAAAGCACAATCAACATTGTGCTCAAAATCTTTAAAAAAGGACTAATTTTTATTTGGTAATTTGATTGTTTTCTAGTATTGTAGTGTCTGGTAACACAAGGAACACATAAAAGAAGAAAAACAAAAATCTCAATTTTTTTAATGACTTTTAATAAATGTGCATTAGTCATCAGGAACACTTTATATATAGGACATATTTTATCCAGTGAAATGAAAGTTATTGTTTTCTTAATGTTGCCATGTTTTCATTGATGACCTAACTTGACATGTCCCTTTTGGTTTGCAGGTAAAATTATAACAGAGCCTGTTAGTCAGCTTGTAGTTGCAGAACAAACATGACCGAGGTGGTGCAGGTTGCAGCCTTGGATGCTCATGACAGTGAAGAAAACACAGAGGACTATATGGGGCAAGAAGAAAATGATGCAGAGGAAAGAAGTGAGAGCGAAAATACAAAAGCTCACCATGAGGATGATGAAACGACCGATGAAACTGAGAAGACACACCTCAACGGTGTGGAGAACAAACAAAACTGTACAAGAGAGGAAATTGATGGATCGGAGGATGTTAACGGAAAGTCACAGGAGAGCCCAGAACCTGAAACAAATGATACAGAGAATATTTCTGATGTGGCACTAAAGAAAGAGGTGAGGTGAAAAATGCAGACATTTTTTTAATACAATAACATTCTACCCCACTGGAACAGAACTAATAATATGATATGGTCTCTTGTGTCTGTTACACTACAGAAACTCCTCAGATCCAGAAAGCTGGTGGCCAGAAGCTATGTGCCAAAGCTGAACAAGGATAAAGCAGATGTAACGAGTAAGTTTGAGGCCATGCAGAAGGCCAGGGAGGAGCGTAGTCGACAGAGGAACAGGGAGGAACAGCAGAAGAGGAAGGATCAATACGTCAAGGAGAGAGAATGGAATCGCAGAAAGCAGCAGGTCAAAGACAGATAACCCCACTAACCTCCGACTGTGATCTGCATGGCATGATGGGGCATGATGGAGGTGACAAAGCTACCAGTTGGAGTGAGAATTCAGTCTTTTATACAACACATATATCAGTCACACTGCATTTTATATACTGTAATTAACCTTATTAATTGCAATTTGTGTTTTTTAATGTCATTATAGTTGTATACTTTAGTAATGGCCATTCAGTGGAAACATAATTAGCAGCTGTTGTGTTGGCATGATTGACTCACTAAACTCTCACATTAGTACAAAATATATTAGGACAGGTAACATAAATGCACGGTTGAACTAAAAATAATCAATTGATTAATTAGTTATTAAACAAGACAATTAAGCATTGATTCCAGAGCAATTTAACGGACTGAATGTACCTAACTGGGCACAATCAATAAGCAAATTGCATGTATCTCAATTATTTTTATTGTGGAACAAAGACATTTATCATTCCCAAACTGTCACTAAAACATAAAAGCTTTAAAATAGGAAGTTATTTTTGTCTTTTCTCAGGAGTATATTTGAGTATGTACATTGTTTGTACACTTTTCAGAATAACAGTGACCATTATAGCCATTCTTCTTTTCACTAGCTGCCCTAAACATTCTGTCCATGGAGTCTGTTAGTTTATTTATGTGTTCATTATTACCCATAATCCACTAGACCTTTCACAAATAATGGTCAGAGTTTCAATGCTTTTCCTAAGTGTAAATCCTGTTCATAAAAAGGCCCAAAGATGTTTGTAGGAATGAAGTGAGATAAAAAAGAGGGCATGTTGTTGTTTTTGATAGCCTAGCAATAGCATAGCTTAGTTCTTGGATTTATGTGGTGGAGCATTTTTCTTCATTGAGATAATAACTATTTTCAGTACTGCATACTATAAAGTTCACTTTTAGAGGAAATGTACCTTTACATTGCAGCTTATAATCTGCTTGGAAAGATTCAAACTCACTCCTTTACCCATTGTAATTGGATAAAACATATTATGTGCTTTCCCCTTACAAGCCTGATGTAATATATTATTAAGACAGGAAGAATTATCACAATGTTCAAGTGAGTAACTTACTGTTAAAGCCAAATGTTAGTTTTCTTAAATAATTATTTTGATTTTTGTTTTGAACTAAGACATAGATATTCATTCAACCTTTATTTATACAGGTTAGTCTCACTGAGTCACGAGGACTCATTTACGAGAGTGAACAGTGAATAATGATATCAGTGAACAATTCAAAATGGCAGCTTTCAAACAATTTTCAGATTTTGTGGGTTATTTTTTTTTAATAAGGTATTGTGTTTAAACTAGTTTATGACCATGCTCAGTGTATCTTTCCTCAAGATCCACTTTCATTCATGTTTGATTTGCCCACACAACCTTTGAGAGAGTTGCTTTAAAGTTTCTTTGACACTTAAGCCTGCTAGTATTATTCAGCTGTGCTCGTATCAGCCTTTATTAAACAAGTCTCTAAGGATTTCAGACTTTTTACCCAGAAAAATAGCTCCAGTTAAGTTTTATAGACGGTGGTTATTTAAACTGAGAGAAGAGGAATTTCAGGTTGCTTTCATGTAAATTTTATTTAGTTCGAAGCAATTAATTTGAGCCTTTGGTTCTCCATGTACTTTTTGAAAAATATTTGCAACAAAATGTTTTTTTTTAGTTAAAATATTTTCAAGAGCATTGCATTTATTTGAAACACATTAATTGCCATATTCAGCTTCAGTATTACATTTTAGTCCATTTTACCTGAGATTTTATAATTGTAATAAAACTATGCGGCTATTACAAGTGTAAAACACAAACTTGAGAACACTGTAACTGCATGGCAAATCAGTACCGTTTTGCTTTTTAATAAACAAATCTTGTATTGGGTGAATCTGACAAAGTGCTTAGAATGGGGTAAAAGTTGAGATCAAAAATTCAAGACTAAACTGCTTTTCCTCCGGACTTACAGTAGTCAAATGAATACAGTGATACAGTGTTATGTGAGTGGATTATCAGTGATAATCAGACACAACAACCTTCATGTGTACATGTTGTGCCATTGCTAGCCAAGCTTGGACACCTACGCTCATCCCCCGTCAGTGCAGCAACACTGCAGGCCAATCAGAAGCTCACCTGAAGACCACATGATGTTGCTATTAACAGGGATTTGGCTCTTGTTCTTGCTCGGACCAGCATGGCTCCTGCGTGGCAGAGGAGTTGATCCCAGCTAAACCCTAACCTCACCACACTCTCCATCTGATCTGCCTGCAGATAAAAGAACTACTCGCTTCCAGTGATGAAGAAGAGGAGGTAAAGCCGAAAAAGGTGGAGAAGTCCTTCGTCCCCAAAATCACAGGTAAAACATAAACACGATGCCACCAGTTTAAAAAAAAGTACAAGAGATGCAGGAGAAGTCTGAAGGTCTATGTCTTTTCTTCATGAAATACCCAGGTAGTGTGAAGGGGAAGTTTGCAGAGATGGAGAAACAAAGACAAGAGGAGGAGAGGAAGAGGATGGAAGAAGAAAGAAAAAAGAGAGAAGCCCAGGACAAAGTAGAGAAAGCCAAAATCAAGAAAGAACTGGCTCAGAAAGCTGCTGAGGTCAGTGAACCTGTGCTGGTACAGAGTAAATCTTTTAGACATTGGGGCAGCTTGATGGTTTCTGTGGTAAAAATATGGTGCACTTTTGTCTGTAATGATTAAGGTAATCCTCAGCTGCCACTTGGATGAGTTATTTTAAGTGGCCTTTGAGATGGGAGCAGTTGGCAGGGGCCGGATATAGGTCTGCAACTAACGGTAGCATTGTTGACATGACCAGCCTGTTAAATGAAAGTAAATAGGTCATTTCCATTATATGTCAATGATAACACGGTGCTATTTATTTGCAAATTGCCAGGTAAATCATTCAAATATTTCCAATCATAACACACTGAACAGTGTAGGTTTATACACTCAGACAGTAATGTTTCTGGAAATTGTTATGTAAGTTGTGCCAGGTAGATAATTATAGGCAATTATCTGCTAACTCTGCCCTAATTCTGTTCTAGTATAGCATAAACGACATTTACAATGCTGTAAATGTCATGAACTGAAGTATTTAACAGGAGACTCCTATTACAGTGACAATTTGGTGCAGCTTGTAACTTGTATATTTCCTAACAACTGAGTAGTTTGGAAGAGTTATGTCATGATTCATTTTCTAATATTGAGTTTAATAAAACAGTAAACTTGTGACGTCACAAACAAGGCATTTGATTTTGTTTTAGTTCTGCACCAAACTTGTTTTTATTCGCTTGTTACATTTCACGTTGTGATGAAGTTTACCGTCAGAGCTTCATTTTACACACTAAAAAGATAACTATTGACAAAAAACCAGCAAACCGTTGAACAAAAACTTGTTAAATAAACTTACAATTAAAACTTACTGCTGTACTCTGAAAATAAGTCTATCATGTAAACAAATTTCTGTCTACTGCAAAGATAAATAAACATTTCTTTTGTGACTTTTTCACATTAACTATAAGACAAAATAATGTTTTAACTAAGTATTTAAAACTACTTCACTATAGTGGACCATAAGTTCCTTTTCTATTTGAGTCATGTTGCCCATTTAAGAAAAAAAAAATTAAAACAACAAAGTATTTTTGTGTCGTTTAGCACAAATTTTGTGATCTAGAAACTACTGAAATAGATCTGCCAGGTGTAGACAGCACATGACTGCCAACTATTTCCCACACCTCCCAGTGACAAAATTAGGTCTAGACTTTCCTCATGTGACTGATTTAGACTCTGCAACCCTAAACTGACACCCATATCAACTGCAAATGGTGACATTAGCCGTGCAGTCTCATACGTTATCTTTCAATACAGAAAAATAATTTGCAGCTCGAGTGACCAAGTCATTTTTACCTCATTCTCTGATTGTTGTGGCTGAAGTCCACATGTTTTTAGAAACAATTTGCCGATGTGGTTTATGTGTTATCATTTAGGAAGGAGATGACACAATCCTGGTGCGTGTGGTTCCAGCCAAATCTTCACGACCTCCGGGTAAAATTAAAATGAACTTTGAGGACATTGAGAAGAACCGAGAGGAGGAACTGAAGAAGAAAGCAGAGGAGGAGAAGAAGAGACGATATGATGAAAACAGACGCTCCTTCAGAGAAGCCAAGCGACGCTCTATTGTTCCAGAGGTTGTTTTTAAAAGGAAACTACTTCCCACTTTAAATTATGTATTTTTGTTACAGCTTTTCCATAACTGTGGAGCTTATGTGAATGTCCTGAATTTTCACATTGATTTGATTTAGGATGAAGAGGAAAAGCCCACAGAGAAGGTGGTGTCTGTGGCTCCTGGAAAGCTGAAGCTGACCTTTGAGGAGATGGAAAGGGAAAGGCAGAAGCAGAGGAGAAAGCAGGCTGAGGAAGAAGCCAAACAACGCTTGTTAGAAGAGAAAAAGGCTTTCAAAGAGGCCAAAGAAGAAATGGTAAACAAAATACTTAACACTCTATTAAAAAAGCAAATAATATCTGTAGCTAAGTGTAGACTTGTTTATTGAATGTTAATGTTGCTGAGCTGACTTATATAGCGCTTATAATCATTTGGTGTCTTATCAGGAAGATGATGAGGAAAGCTCTCAGCCAGATGAGGAAGAAAAAGATGAGTTTCGTCCTGGAAAACTGAGACTGAGCTTCGAGGAGTTAGAGAGGCAAAGGGTAGAAGGAGTGCGCAAAAAAGCAGAAGAGGAGGCCAAGAGACGAATGGAAGAGGAGAGACGAGCTTTTGCCGAAGCCAGGAGGAGCATGGTAAACACTTTGCAATAATAAATATCAGTGAAAAAATCTGTCTGTAGAAAAAAAATGGTGCCAATATTCTTGCAATATAGACATAATATCAAATAGGTCTTAAAAGGAAAAGCTTGACATATAATTAGGCACGAAAAGGTAGTACAGATTTGTATACAAACCATAATCCAAACAAACTTAACCGCAATGTGTTTATCAGCTTGTAGATGAAGATGACGAGGTCCTGATGGCCTTGCTGAACTTGGAGGGAACTGAACCAGGGAAAATCTGTGCCAGTTTTGAGGATCTAGAACGACAGAGACGTGAGGAGGAGCAGAGAAAGGCTGAGGAGGAGGCCAAGAAGAGGTTGGAGGAGGAAAAGAGGCTCTTTGCTGAGGCCCGCAAGAGCATGGTGAGTCAATGTGACTCGGTGACCAAAAATCAAGCGTGTGAAAGCATGTGTAAGGCTGGTCACTAGCATGTTAACAGTAACATGTGAGGTGTGCTGGTGTTGTTCAGGGTTCTAAACCTGTTGCTCGGTTTTCCCAGGATGAAATCTAAACTCCTAAATGATTTTCAATCACGTTTACACTGAGATACACAGTTAGTATACATAACCTTCACATTTTTAAGGAAAGGTGTGCAAATAACATTTGGTGATTACTAGTCAAATCAAAAGCAATTCTGGCCCAAGTTAAACTAGCATGTTTACCTTAAAGTATTATATACTAGCATTTTAATTAAATTGGTTTTGTTACTTTGTTGATGTACATATTCTAATGGGCTCAAGTGGTACATATGTACTGCTGGTTCTTTCTTTGAATTATCTCTTTTTAAGAGCCCAGTCCTGGATGTGGAAAAGTTCTCATATGGAGATGAAATAGTAAGATAATTTCAGTCTCACAAGTTTATTTATTTTTATTCTATGACATTATAGAAAACAGTTTTTTTAGCTTCACACCCAACAAAGCATTTATTTAGTTAATTTTGGTCCTGTGCATGCTATCTTTAAACATATAATGAGAATGGTGCTACTTTACTCTTGGTTGGATTTAGAGTGTTTCAGAATGCTTGGTAAGTATTGAACTGTATCAATACTAAACTGTAATAATTTAGAAAAAATACTTGGAGATGCAAATATCTTTTTTGTGTATTTTTATGTGTTTAGGTGCTGGAAGACGATGAAGAAATGATGAGGAGCGATTCTCAGGAGGCTTTGCACCCCAGAAAATTAGAGATCAACTTTGAAGAGCTGCTAAAAGAGAAGGAGGAGGCTGAGAGGAGGTGCAAGGCAGAGGAGCGTAAGAAGAAATTGGAGCAGGAGAAGCAGGAATTTGAACAACTCAGACAAGAAATGGGCCAGGTCAGTTTTAAAAACATAAAATGCAAGGGCTAATATACTCCCAACCATTCAATTATGTTCCTCTGTTAAAAAAAAGAAACTATTTATTTCAAGTAAACTGATTTAATGTTTCTAGGAGGAAATAAACGAAAGTTCAGATGTTGTAAGTAATGAATATGAAGAGCTGACAAAGCTGAAGAAAACTGGCTCCATTCAGGCCAAAAATCTCAAATCTAAGTTTGAGAAGATCAAGCAGCTGACGGAGGAGGAGATTCAGAAAAAGATAGAGATGGAGAGAGAGCGGAGGAAGGCCATTGATGATGAAATCAAACAGAGAGAAGCTGAGCGGTTCCAGGAGGTAAGAGCACCCAAAGACTGTGGAAGGATGTACATTTTATTCCTGTAAACACCAGGTGTGTCTGGCTCATGATGAGCTGAACTACTGAACACCTAAATGTCTGTTTGATTATTAAAACAAGCAGTCTATGATTTAAAAAAGTTGCTGAATGAATGACAGTGTCCAATTGACATGACTGAACTGGTTAAGTTACAGGATTTAGTATGTTTTATTCAAAAAGGAAACATTTGAATAATAAATAATTGTATTTTTAGGAGGAGGAGGGGGAGGGAAGAGTAACAACTCCAGGAAGGCTTGAGGAGTCACCGTTCAGGCAAAAAGTGGACATGCGAGCTCGCTTTCAACAAATGGCCAAAGCCAGAGAGGAAGAAGAACGGAGGAGGATCGAGGAGCAGAAGCTCCAGCGAATGCAGTTTGAACAGCAGGAGATTGATGCTGCTCTTCAAAAGGTAAATCCCCCGTGTTCATTACCATTTTACACAATTCCTAATGCACAAGAACGTAAAAGTTTCATTTATGGCTCTGACGTTAGCAAAAGTTTCTAATTATTTTGTCTGCTTGCAGAAGAAAGAGGACGAAGTGGAGGATGAGGGTAGCATCATCAATGGCTTGGCAGCTTATGAAGATGAGGAAGATCATGCTCGTTCAGGGGCTCCATGGTTTAAGAAGCCTCTTAAAAATCAGTCGGTGGTGGATTCTGAGCCTGTTCGGTTCACTGTTAAGATCACTGGGGAGCCAAAGCCTGAGGTAACCTGGTGGTTTGAGGGAGAGATGCTCCAGGACTGTGAGGACTATCAGTATATTGAAAGAGGAGAGACATACTGCCTCTACCTGCCCGAGACCTTTCCAGAAGACGAAGGGGAGTACATGTGCAAGGCTGTGAACAGCAGAGGCACAGCAGCAAGTACCTGCATCCTTACAATAGAAAGTAAGATCACTCTTGTGTGACTGTGTCTGCACGCTACTGCTCATCTGGAATTTACCGCACTTTATGAAGTGGATCGCATGCTCCTCTTCCCTGTCACCTCAGGCTGAAAAGCAGATGTCGATAACACCTCTTCTGTTTGTTTCTTGCAGCTTATGACTACTGATGCTCCTTCGTATGCAGAAGATTGTTCCTTGTCTTTCAATCCTTTTGTAAAACTTCATTTATTGTGGTCAGACAGTTAGGGGAGAACCGTATGCTTGGCATTCCTAAGGAAGGGAAACACACATATTCAAACACAAAAACAAGATGTTGTTTACATGTTGCTCAATCGTTAAGCTCAAGGATGTAGGAAAATACTTGTGCCAAAACTGACAGATTCCTGTTTCTGTGCTAAAAACTGTACTAAACATCAAAAGTGTATTTGCTACAAGGCCCTAGCAGCTTTCATGAAACCAGCAATTTCTAAATGTTGTTAAACTGCATTGTAAATATGACATTAAATTGTCCATAAATCACCAAATGTTATGCTTAAGTATCAAAATAAGTAGAATATTTTATATATCTCTGTTTTGATTAACACAGTATTGAAATATCAGTTAAACATGTAGTTTATGTTGATAGTCATCTGGTATTATACTGAGGAAAATCATGTTCTGTCAAGAGTCTAACAGTGCAGGAAAAAGATTAATTTGTTCGTCAATTGATTTCAGCAACATCTAAACAAATGTTCATTTTTTCATGTGAACTCCCCCCTTTTTTATTTTAAGCACAGTTTAATACTCTTAGTACAGATGTCAATATTCAGTTCTCCGGGATGATCATTTTGTTTGATAATGGAAAAAATAGGCTAGTTTTGAATTTTTGTCATATGTAATAATAGAAATCAAGTTTTAATAAAACAAACCAAAAGAACACTTTCATTGTGCTGTCTTTGATATTATACAAACCTGATATGTTGCAGATTTTGCTGTCTTGCCATGACTTGACTTACTATTGCTATGATTAAAAAAGAAGATAACGCCTGCATTTGTCAAATTATTCTGTTATTTGTTTCGGGGGTGGAGAGCCTGAAATCTTTTAAAGGAGACATTTGACCAGGTATCTGTCCATCACAGAGCGAAGGTAACCACGCTAACACTTGGATTTACAATGTGATCAGTTTAGAATAAAAGTCCACCAATCCCACCCACATTTTGATGTTGTCGGTGCCGGGAGTTGAACCAATGTCTTCCAATCACAGGCCCACCTTCTCAAACCTCTGCGCCACCACTACAACTATTAAAAAAATGTGCTCTTTACAGTACAGTACTACTGTTCTTCTAGTTGTACTTTGAAAAGCAGAATCAAAGGTCAACAAAATCTGTGATTAAAATATTTTGTATTTAGAGTAGAATAACATCAGATTTTACAAGTATATATATTGACCATTTTGAATAGAACCTGATTTGATGTGATTGGTGCCAAAGTTGCAATATCCTGTTGATTCCTAATAAAATAACATTTAGACTTCTTAAATTCATTCAACCTTTATTTATACAGGTTAATCCCATTGACCCACGGAGACTCATTTATTGACCCACGGAGACTCATTTACAAGAGACCTGAATGTAAACCTCAAAATGACAAATTATTTTTGAAAAATGTATACTGAACATAGGATAATTCAAACCATGTGTGAAAAGTTTTAAGAATGATAAATGTTGAACTGAATCTGATGTAAAATGACAGATGACAAAAACCCTGAGGAATACAGTGTACGTAGTTGTCACGTGACATAACATTGGGGGCGGATCATTTACAATACGGATCGTAAACCAACCTTAGTGTTGTGAAAACCAATCATGTGTCGTGTGAACCAAATTACATAGTTACAAGACAGTTGTGGCTGTGGCTACAAAATAATCCATACAGGTATATATATTTTTCTTTAGAGTAGCTAAAGATAGTTCAACCCCATTTTTGTTACTCTGTGTGGTCAAAAGGAGCGTCGCGACACCATGCTAACACGTTAGCGCACTGTTGACATGCTTCAAGCTAGCAGTTTCTTCAGATAATATGCTAAAACTTCATCTGTGAAAAAAATAAATAAATTGTGCTATCATTTACTTTAAAACATTATTGAACCAAGGTAGCAGAGCTTGCTTTGCAGTCGACATGTCTTATTTAATCCAATATTTCGTTTTTCCCAGCTGTTTGTCAAATTAACACCATGGTCGCTTCTGTTGAAGAGGTTTCTTCGTCTCTTGTAAGGGAGTATTTAAGTCGAAAGGTAAGTTAGCTAAAACTGAATCGTCAACAGCAGGACTGAAAAATAGTTCTGTGCAAACTCTGCCATGCTAACCAATTACTAGCTTAGCTTCCTCTTAACTCCTTGAGAGTTTATAATGATGTGAATTTTTACGTCATACAAACACGAAACGATTTTACAGGCAGAATTTATGGCGCTTTTTCTCGACAAAAGGTACAGAATATTTGATTAAGAGAAAACAAAGCCTTGATCGTGCAATGGTTCGTTTGTGTATGAATATATATATATTTAAAAAGTCTGTCTGTTCATAAAGTTCACTGTAAATAGCTCAGTCTTCTCTGCAGGGACTGAAAAGGACCATCGCCTGTATGGATGAGGAGCACCCACGCACAGAGGCCAGTATCAATAACAGATCCCATCTGAGGAGTATTCTTAACCTGGATGAGCTCTACAGAAAAAATAAAGTAAGTCAAAACGTTGCTGCTGTGCAAATACTGTATAACAAATGAAGAGCTGCAGCTGACTTTTCTGCAATTACAGGTTCAAAATACCCCCCTGAAAACATTACTTGAGATTATTGTGAAGCATCATATTGAAAAGTTAAAAAATGAAGAGCTCGTGGGAGGAGAATGTCCACAGAAAGTCCAAACTTTCAGCTCACCTGCAAGCAAACCAGTACTGATAAGCGACTCAAAAGCAATTGAAGTACGACCAGATTTTGTTAGCAGCAAGCAGAGGTATTTCACATGCAGTGCTTTACGTCATAACGTTTGCCATTTAATGATTTATTTAAACTGACTTGCTTGTGTGGGCTCTTCATTCACAGGTCTGACAAAAATGAAAGATGCCTCCCTATGCCATCATATATGTCATCATTGTCTGAGAAAGAGAGGCCGTCTGCTTTGAATCCAACAGAGGACGAGATTTATAAACTAGATTACCAAAACGACAAACTTATGTTGGCTTCCCAAAAGGACAATGGGAGCTTTGTCCAAAAGGGGACAGACAGAAACACTTCCATCCCTGCTGTTACCCAGAAGAATAGAACAAATCACATCAGACGAGGCATGATGGCTGGACCGGTACCACAGGTACTGCCTGCTAAAGCTTTTGAAGCTTAAAACGCCTTGCTTTTTTAGATTCCTTAAACACTTACATACACACACACATATATATATATTAATTCATATTCTCTCTTCAGGAATCAAGCAAAAACAGAAAAAGGCAAAGTGGAAAGGTTGAAGCATCCCAGACGCTGTTCAGAAAAGATGTGGAAAACAGGCAGTTTACCGTTTTGCATTCAAAAAGTTGTGTAACTGACAACAGCTCAGCCAGCGGTGCAGAAGGAAAACTGGATCTCCTGAACACAACAGATATAAACCAGGATGAGAGCAGTTGTGGAACAATGGAACAAAATGTAGTGAAAACAAACAAGTAAGTAGCTTTTTGTTGTCACTCTCATAACACAATACTTCCCAGTGACTCAAAATATTCTCCTGTAGTTTTATTTATAAGTGCTTGTGTTGTGTTTTTCCTAGAGTAAAGACGAGATCAAACAGTTCTGATTTGAATGTCTCGGAGATAAGATTAGGTAAGTTCCTAAAGAAGAAAATCAAGAATCACTGACTTGTTTTGACTATTTAAATAACTTGTTTGGCCAAAAACTGATGCCTAATATTATATATTTACAGATGATATTGATGATTATGATGGTGATCTGCGAGTAGTGTCTGTTCAGAGGACTGTTTCAGAGTTTCACTACTCAGGCTGTGCAATAGACCAACACACGGCCGCAGTGAGTACTTACTGAGATGTGTAGGAGCCAGTTTCTGTGGTTCCTTTTTAATATTCTGGTTTTGTTTTCTACAGGAATTGAAAACAATACTTCTTGGTTCCAGCCTAAATTGTTTTAGTGTTGAGTGGCTGAATCAGGGTTTTACCTTTTCTGAGACAGATGACCTCAGATATGGCATTGTGCAGAAAAAGGTACTTTTACCCAGACTGTCTAATTTATTTTAACTAACATGACACATTTATTCTCATATTTTATGCTTTATGACTGTGTTTATGTGATTTTTTTAGGGTGGTCCTTGTGGAGTTCTGGCATCTATTCAAGCATTTGTTCTTAAGAAACTTCTGTTTGAAAACACTGATAGTAGTATATCCATCCTTCAGTAAGTTGGCTTAAAATCAAACACCTTTACGTGATATTTTTCTGCTACTGTTTTCTTTTTACAGCAACAAATTCACATCAGAGGATGTTTTCCGGCAGTTCTTTAGCAAATGCTCTCTGCTTCTAGATACAAACTGTGTAAAACCCATACAACCTCATTTTCACACACTTGTCCTTTTATTCTCAGGAGGTTACGACCGTCCAGCAGCACCAGAAGACGGTGTCTTGTTTTAGCTCTGGCTGAAGTCTTGTGGAGGGCTGGCAAGGAAAAACAAGCCTCAGTTGCAATGTAAGAAAACAACAGTATCCACTTAATTCCTTACTTTGAATGGCTGCTTGTGTTTTGCTAAATCTACATCATGAGTGAATCTGTTCTACCAAACACTGAGGATATCTCCTTTTTACACAGATACCAACAGGTTTTAGATATGACAGTCTACAAATTGATGCAAAACGTAGATGCTGCTCTGGACTCTGTCAGAGTTGCTTTTTTATTTCTTTGTCTTTGAAAGAATTATCAAGAAAAAAAATGCAGTATCTACTACTAGTAATCTACTCTTCTTACAGGTTTTGACATGAGTTTCATACTTTTTTCTGTCTCTATTCTTTTGATCTATTCAATTAAATTCAGTTTATTTATATAGCACCAAGTCACAACAGAAGTCATCTCAGGGTACTGAACAGAAACATTCACATACATTATAAATACCAATTAGTAAAGTTATCTATCTAAGGAAGGAAGGAATCTGATTGGTCGGTAAAAGGGACAAACGAATGGTCTGACTGGTCACCTGCTGCTTTTGTTTTTTACCTTTTTTATGCCTTGTTTAAAAAAAAATTATAACCACTTCACAGATGGTTCTGTGTATCACATCTTGTGCAAAGTTCTGTTATTTAAACATTTCTCTCATATTCAGAATCACTCTAGTTCATCATCATATCATTTATTCTGCAGCTCAAGTTGTAGAAATAACTTGTTCAGAGGTTAAAGTTGAAATTAGTTCAGGATGGCATTTTAATATGAGCAATACCTGACAAAATGGACTCGCATCATCATCAACTATCAGACCTGTTCTTGTCAGAAAAGTCTGTAAAATCTGCTGTCTGGTAGAACATTGATTTAAACCGATAGGAGGAATTTGTTTTCAAACTATTTTTTATCTTTTAATACCAGAAATTTGGGGACAAGCCATTTCACCCCATGTGGGAACTACAGATCTGAAAGAGTACTTGAAAAGGTATGTTTCACTTGTTTCTATATCTGCTGGAAGGAATATACCGGTAATACAATTACAAATTCATAAAAAGGAAAAATCAATTCACAGCCCATTTTGTATTAATGCCTATTCAGTCATATGTTGTTTGCTTAGATAGTTTGATGTAAAAATGCTGTTGTTTACATTAGTTTGGGTGTTTTCTAACCATCTCTTGCTTTAGATGATGTATTTCTCTCTGGACAACATCAAGGATCTGCAGTTTGTTCTGGAGCAGCATATCGAGCAGGTAAATGGATCACTATTGTCTGTTTTTATTGAGTTTTGCATGTGAGAAACACGTGCAAACGTTTTATTAATATTTAGTTTTAATATTTTCTTTTCACAGTTTGAAACTGGGATGTTAGGATGTATTCTACTGATTGTATCAGCAGTTCTCTCTCGATCCATTGAAAGGTAAAAAATACACTTTTTTCCTTGCTTCTCTGTAAATAGTTTTGAGCCTGTGTAACAACTGGTATTTTTTATTATGTTCTTAGAATAAGAGAAGATATGGACGTGCCCACCACCACATTAATTGGGGCCCATGGCTACTGCACTCAGGTTTGAACATGAAACTTTAAATTGTTGTGTTCATATTAAAGTTAGGAGTGCTTTGTACAAGAGGAGAGTGCTTTTTGTGGTAGCACAAAACTGCTAGTTATTTGCACCACTTGTTATGCCATGCATAAATTATGATCATAACTTACAGTGTATTTGGATTCATCAGGAGCTGGTCAATCTGTTGCTTTGTGGACGAGCGGTTTCTAATGTTTTTGACGACGACATGGAGCTGGACTCCGGCGATGGTGACCTGACTCTCCTTAAAGGGATCAAAGACCCCTGTGAAGTTGGTCTGCTCTCCCTGTTTGAACATTATAATATCTGTAAGGTGAGAAAATTTCAGCTGCAGTGACAGACGCATGCAGTATTTACAGCTTGCAGCACAGAAAGCACTGGGATTTTAATGTTGGTTCAAAACAAATACTAAACCAGTATAAGATTTTGATAATAAGGTAATTACATCTCAAATAAATAAATAAAAATCTGTGTAAAGATATTTCTATCATCGTTTAATTAATATTTGGAACCCAAGGAAATATATAACTTTAAATTGCAATTGACAAACCTTGGAAAAAATATTCTAAAAACATTCAATGTATTTAGTATATTGGATTTAAACGCAAGTCTAAGCAGCTGATCAAAAGATTTACATATAACACAGTCAGCTGGCCCTTTTAGAAATAAGTGATTTTGTACGGATTTATTGTGTGGAGAAAGACATAAATGAAAGTATTCAAGTTGCAACCAAGTAATTGTAATTGTTATGTTAAAGTAATAGGAGTGGTTCACAGAATATAAGTGTTTATTTGCTCTTCTCGGTCTTGTAAATTGATGATAACATGAATCCAGATGCACAGATCTTTTAGTTCAAGCTATAGAGCCATCCTTACACAAATACAAAGTTTATTAACAAGTGCTGACTTGAGTAAACCTACATGGTAGCTTTCACAACTGGTTTGATATTGATTGTTCATGCTAACAGTGTGAACGCTTGTGCTTCTTTTATCTAAGGTAGGGGCTTACCTGAAGAATCCCTCCTTCCCTGTCTGGGTGGTGTGCAGTGAGAGCCACTTCTGTGTGCTGTTTGGCCTGCAGAGGGAGCTGTTGACCAACCAGGAAGGAGGTCTGGAGTTTGACCTCTATTACTATGATGGACTGGCCAATCAGCAGGAGGAGATCCGCCTCACCGTTTGTATGTAGCCGCACTTGATTTCACTGTGTGTTAAGCTGCAGCCACGTGTTCTCAGCAGTGTTGCCAGATTTACAATAATTATATTTATTCAGTAGTTTTAGGCTCCACATGATATGCAATAAATTATTTTTAAAAGCTCAAATATACAATAGTTTTGGCATCTCGAGCACCTAAAAGTCACATAATCAAAACAAACATCAAAACATATACATATAATCAGAAAGTCCTATAAAATACGATGATTTTAAAACCAACAGTATGACATTTTGTTCTTTTCTATCTGGCAACCCTGGTTCCCAATATATTTGATTTAGTGATTTTTTTTGTTGTTGTTTTATTTAAATTAAAACTATGTACTCACATTTTGTCTATAGTACTTATACTTAGGCGGTGGCATTTCCTTGTTTGTGGTATGTTTTATATTTTGTTAGATTTTGAGGGGATTTATATTTAGTTACTTTGCTTGTAAAAAAAATAACAATATTGGAAATTGTGTTTTCAGCTGTTAGCAAATCAGCTAAAAGCTTTCAGGAAGTTGATGCTGATCTTATTCCTCCACTTGAGCTTTGTATCCGCACAAGGTAAAGAGCTTTAACAGAATTTTGAATTTAGATTTTTTTTCAATTAAATATTAAATATGTTTAAAATTTATTTATATATATATATATATATATATATATATATATACATACATACACACACACACACACACACACACACACACAC